ATATATATATATATATATATATATATATATATATATATATATATATATATATATATATATATATATATATATATATATATATATATATATATTGTAGCTTGTTTCACAAAATAAATACTGCAAGCACATTGTAATGAGTTAAAAAAAGAGGATGCAGACAAAATAACTCCCCATTATTAACTCGCTTTTTTTCATAAAAGCGCACATGAATGATCTGTTCATTAATGTCTTGTGGCTGTTCTCGTAATTAAAGCACATTTTATATAAACAATTAATTTATACGACTCTATTTTAATGAAAAACTCTTCATTTTTCATCAATTTAAAGAGTTTCCTTATTTGAAAGACACCAATATATTTCGCATTGAGTGTATTAGCCTACCTCAGTAGCCTGAGTGCTAGTACATGTACGTTAGACAGCGAGATCTCGTGTTCCATTTCTGGTTCCATGTAGAACGCTGTAATTGTTGCTACAAAATATTTATACCTACGGCTATACGACTGAATTTGGCCATGAATATTTCTGGAAACAACTCGTGTAGCGATGAGTCATTACACATTACCTACAAACTTTGGGAAATAACATTATGTGCATTTATATTAACTTTTGGTCTTGTTGCAAACGTAATGCTGCTCATAGCGCAATGGAAAGACCCTTTACGCTGTTTTGGAACCATATCAACGTGTTTTATACAACATATTGCTATTATTGATTGCTTAGGGCTGCTAGTTTCCTGTTCTGTCTTAGTCATTGCGGTAAGAACGAACAGTCCTTTTTACGTTGGTTCAAATCACGTGAAACAGTTGAAACCGTTCATGCTATTCTTAACAAATATAAAACATTTTCCGTGTTGATATACAGTTATATCAACACGAGTGGAATTGGGAAAACGAGAAATTGTATGGAAACACGACGCCCGAAGGGCGGAGTGTTTTCATACAATTTCGAGTTTTCCCAACTTCCACGAGTGTTGATATAACTATATATCAATACGGAAAAAATGTTTTGTATTTTTTTTATAATATAGCAATGTCAAAAGCCCAAAGGATAAGAAAAATTTCCGTGTTTACAAGCGGCGGAAAATTTCCCGTGTTGACATTGAGTTATATCAACACGGCTCTTAGCCAATCAGCGTTCAGAATTTACAAATGCTATATTATAATGCATTGTGTTAACCAATCAATGCCTCACAAGTTTTGCTGTTGAACGACTTTTGTCCACAACTAGACCTTTTTTCCACAAAGTTTATTTCACAAAACAAAGAGTCCGCGTTAGTTTTGTCATTATGTGGATTTTTGCTTTGATTTGTGTTGTAATCGATCAATGCTTATACCGTACAACAAAAGACGTGCATTTTTCATATTATATCGTTGAAACCTCCGTATCTTTGCCATGTTTAACGAAAACATTCAGCCTATATATCGTTTGTTTTATCAGCATAAAACGGCAACAAAGAGAATTCAAACAAACTCAAATGGCAGACATTACTCGAAACGCACTGAATGTAAAACTTTCAAACGAAAAACGATTCTTGGTAACAATATTCATCGTCTGTTCTGTGACAGTAATTTTTTGGGTGCCAGCTTTTATAATGCTTCAACCATTGGGAATTGAAGAAAACACGAGTAGAGAATTTTATCGACTATTTTTTATCGTTATTCCTTATATGGCGGCAATACACTCTTCAATCAATCCAGTCATTTACAACCTACGTTTATCAAAGTATAGAAAAACTTTCTACAAGTTATATTGCTGTTTTTGTACACATTCTGGTACACAGTGAAGTAGTTTTTAGCATGATGGTCTTGAAGGAGTAACATGGGAACTTGGTTTTGCCTGTTTTTGGACAGGGATAATGAGATTTGGGTTACTGGGAGTGGGAATGACAGACACAAAAATGGAGGTGGAAAACCCATACACCAGTATAAAGACCGTTGTAGTTGGACATTTCAGAGTTTAAATAACTTTGAGGAAAGCTACGGAGCAACTTTTGATTAGAATCAGTCTAAAAGTGTCCTGTCTTTTTCCAGCTCAGGTCATTTACCTGCTATTTAGAGTCCGTGATTACTTAGTATGTTTATTATATATGTGAAAAAATGACAGGTATTTCTAATGAGAGCTTTTGAAAGCAGAATATTGTGTTTTAAAAGTCAACACAGGCGAAACACCTGCCTAGGATACTTGTTTCCGTTTGCAGTTTGCACTGGAATTTGGGAAAAAAAACTCGCTATAGGAAATGAGATTTAGAAAAAAAGTGCGCTTGGAAATGGAACCCATCATCACTTGCATCATCACAGCCATCACGACCACCACCACCATCATCATCTAGCGTTTCTCTAAAAATTGTTCCTTTTAGAATATCACAATAGCAGTAAGTTTCGCATGATTTACGCTTTCTGCGCAAGGTATTTCGATTGGGTAGAAGCACAAGGGTGTAAACATGTTCTTTCAAGGGGAAACCCATTCCAAAGGGGAAACCCAAACCAAACATGTTCTTCCTGCGCAAGGTATTTCGATTGGGTAGAAGCACAAGGGTGTAAACATGTTCTTTCAAGGGGAAACCCATTACAATTACATACTGCAGCATAACAAAGACGATTTGCTTTGCGAAGGTTTTTGCATATGTTTAAGTCCCAAACTCGGAACACATGTAATTCCTATTTTTAAAAGGAACAGCTATCCAAAAGGAACAAATTATTTCCACTTGAATTGAGTTGTTCCGTTTGCTTTATGTTCTACAAATCGGAACGGTTTAAAAAGGAATTGAATTAGGAAAGCATAATTCGTTCACCACCATTATCACCATCATCATCACAACCGTCATACCGCCACATCTGCACCATCAACACCACCATCATTGACGGACTGACAGATTTTTGGGTCGGTCAGAAATAAAACCCGGGCCCACGTACGAGCGTATAAATATATGTATGGTATGTAGTATTATAAATTTAGTATGTAAAATAATGTAAAATAAACTTTTCTTTAAACAAATTGTGTTTAATGATCACATCACACACGTTCGTTTGACCACTAGTTTAGAAAGTTTATTAAAAAAAAATATAGAGCTTAGTTCTTTAAAACTCGCGATAAACTTGTCAACAATCTGTTTCTTCAACTGCAGCGCATTACTGATCCGTTTCAACAGCAATAATCATCAACAATTCAACGTCGTAGCCTTGTCCAGGGGCGGCGGTGTATGAGGGTGGAACAGACCCCCTCTCCCCCACCCCACTCATGAGCGAGTCGGAAAATTGTTCCATTCATTCGACAAAATTTGAGCTGTTTGGATGTGGACCGAATTATCGATTTCAATTATCTGAATTAAAACCAAACCTGAATTTAAATATAAACCTTAAAAGTCAGGTGAACGGATATCTTGAAACTGTGCTTTATCGAGTCATAACGGGTAGTTTAAAAATTCAAAACAACCCAACAGCATATATAAATGCAGACGAGTTGGTTTTTGACAGCGGTCATGGCTGCTCCAATCGTTCAGGTACTCATTTGAAATCTTCCCCCAGAACGGAGGAAAGTACTGCTTGATAAACGAGCAGGAGCGTTTTATTAGACTAATAAAACACGTCCTGCGAGTTTATTAAACGGCTTCAAACAAGACTACAAAGTCAATAGATATACTGCCTTATTAGTATTCTTTATATGAAGAATACTAATGAGGACACGACCACAAAAGATATTGCCTTATTAGTATTCTTTATATAGAGAATACTAATTAGGAGTGTTTATCAGGTTTAAAGCCACTGCATGTGACATATTATGGTTGACATGATTTGCCAATAAGCTTAGTGAGTATGACCAAGCTAATGACTCGGCAAATTATACCTCCCCCCTCCCCCCCGCCTATCGAAGGAGGCCTAGCACCGCCCCTTGTTTAAACTAACTTTAGTTTCGAAAATGATCTCTCGCCGTTGTGTATCATTCAAATCCTTTCTGAAAGAAAATTTCCTAAGACACACCACCAAGTCAATATTTTCGGGACGATTTTTATCATATTTATATTTCTACCACATTCAAACATTCTTTATTTGTTCTATGTTTAGACCAGATAACGAGTACCGCTACGTCTACTTTAACCACATGAACCTGGCACAGAAAACAACTATGCACAACAAGAAACAGAACCAGATGTGCGTCTCGCCAGAAATTATCAAAATTATTTGTAATATCAACGCAGATTTTGCCAGGTGAGAGCCAATGCCAGGTTTTGTTTCGTGCCGTCTCTTTTTCTGCCATGTGCATTGTTTCAGCAATTTTTGCTTGTATGATTTTTTTCTCTTCCAGTATCATCACTTCTCTAATTAGGCCACGCCTTTTATTTTTGTTGGATTACGGATTTTGCTCGCCAATATTAAAGGGCGGGAGGGCAAAAAATAAAAAAGTAAAAGAAAGAATTGTGTAATATCTAATCCCATACAGAGTACAGCGAAGTAAACATCGCCTCCTTCGGCCTTGTTTCACGTTCACGTGACGTGACCATGAGTGACAATTGCGTGTTGAAGCGCGCGTCAGCCTGACTTTAAGGCCATGTTACATGGTGCAATTTTTTGGAACTTTGCAATGCAATTCTACTCTTGAGAGATGTAAAATTGCCAAATAGGAGTCTTCATTACACTCCGCTGATCTTTTCTCAACATATCGAAAATTCTTCACTGATTTCACTAATTAACATCTCTCAAGAGTAGAATTGCATTGCAAGTTGCAAGAAAAATTGCACCGTGGGCATGGCCTTTATTCTCGCACATTTTATTTTTTGGGTGTCTTGCTGGGAAAATAAATACTAATACTTTCTAAAATATGGTCGGGTGAACAAAAAACCACATCAAAACTGCAGTTAGCGGCATTTATATTTTTTTGTGCTTTTTAAAAATACAAGGTCGGGATATCCGTAATCCAACAAAAAAAAAGCGTGGCCTTATCTGTCATTCCGTCTAAAGTGAAATGAATGAACGCTACCTTAGATAAACTGCCTATCTTTTTCATGAAGCCAATCTTTAATTTTTCTTGAAGATCCGCGTGTTTATATCTCGCGATTGTAACGCGAGACCAGTTCGGGGATTATTAGAAAAAAATAAGAAAAACCAAAAGTGAAATCTACGAAGTTTTACCGTGAATCAGTTTTCAAGAATACATGAATTCAGTGAAAAGACTGAAACTGGCCTTCAAGTTTGGCTTCAAATTTCTGGTTGGAGGTAGCATTCCGGTTATATTCCTTTCACTGTTCCTCTCTCCCCCGCAGAGGCTTTTTAAAAAGTTAATATAGAGAAAAACACCGCTGACCCGTTGAGAGAGGAATGCAGGCGCGAAGGGAAGTTCACCACTCTTCCCTTTACAACTTCATGTAAGGAACACATAATAGTTAGAAACACATATTAATGTCGGAAACCTCTTGCGGAGGAGAGAGAGTCACTGTTCCGTCCCTAAACTGTTCTCTTTATTCTAAAGTTGTACTGCGCATGTCCTACATACAGTGCACCGCAATCACAAGTAGTATATGTATAGTATATATTGAGTGAAAAAATACAATCCTAGCTTATATTCAAAGCAAATTCGCAAATTATATTCAAAGCTCGCTCCTATAACACTCCTGGGGTTTGCTTCCAGCGGAAGTAATACCACAGAATAAAGATCAGTACCAGAAGGGCCACTCAGCGGTGCAGCGTGTCGCCATTTTTCTATGCAAAAATATGCAGTTGACTGGCCAGAAGGCGGGGCTTTCAGCCAATACAGCGCGTTTATTGCAGGGACGAGACTTAGCACTCGCTGTTAATAACGGGTTTTTAGCCGCCACTAAATCGTTACCGCCGCTTTCAATTATTGATAAATTATCTGTGGAAGAACCTACTGTTTTGTACCCTATCTCCGTTGTTGATGTCGAATCGCGTTTAAAAGCAGTTAAATCGAATAAAGCTCCTGGTCCAGACTCTCTGCCAAATTGGATTCTCAATAACTTTTCAATGGAGATTTCAGAACCTGTGACAATGATTTTTAATGCCTCCATTAAACAAGCACAAGTTCCAATGCAGTGGAAAGAAGCAAATGTCGTTCCCGTCCCTAAGACATCCTCGGTCACGGATATATCTTCAGACCTGCGACCTATATCTCTGACCGCCACGCTCTCAAAGGTTCTTGAATCATTTCAATGGATTATGGATACCATTAAGTCTCAGTTGGACCCAAAGCAATTCGGATCGTTAAAAGGCTCTTCTACGATAGACGCATTAATTAGCATGTTCCACTGTTGGTATTCTAACACAGACGGCAATGGCGAGACTGTTCGTGTTTTTCTGCTTGACTTTAGTAAAGCATTCGACAGAATCAACCACAAAATCCTGATAAAAAAGATGCAATTACTAAATATTGATAAATCCTTAATAAACTGGGTTATTGATTTCCTGATGCAAAGAAGACAGAGGGTGAAATTGGGTTCTTCGTTCTCTGATTGGTCCTTGGTAAATGGAGGCGTCCCGCAAGGTACAATCCTTGGCCCATTACTCTTCCTCATCATGGTCAACGATTTGGCTATTAACCACAAAGATAGATGGAAATATGTTGATGACACTAGTCTCTCCGAAACAATCGGTAAAGGTTGTCAAAGTAACCTGCAATCCGTTATTAATAATATCGATCAATGGTGCACGGAAAATGATATGATGCTTAATCGTTCTAAATGCAAAGAGCTAATTATCTCGTTCGCTAAGGACGTCCCTAATCTTCGACCATTGTTTATTAAAGATCACTGTATGTCCCCAGTTTTATCAGCAAAGGTTCTTGGTCTGTACTTTTCTTCTGATCTTAGTTGGAACTTACATGTTGAACACATAGTATACAAGGCATCAAAGAGACTTTTTTTTCTCCGAGTGCTTAAACGCAGCGGTCTTGGAGGGAGTTCTCTAATTCAAGTCTATACCACATGTATACGACCTGTGCTTGAATATGCATGCCAGGTTTGGAACTTAAACTCCCCTGACTATTTAAAGGAAGAAATCGAAAGAATTCAGAAGCGAGCCCTACGAATAATATGTCCTGACCTGTCATACCGCAAAGCCTTGGAAGTTCATAAAATATCGTTGCTCTCTCAAAGACGAAATAATTTATGTAAATCCTATTTTAAGAAACTTCTCAACCCGGAAACTGAATAAATTGAATGAACTTATCCCTAATAAACGCGAGGACTTACGTACTTACAATCTACGTAATGATCAGCATATTAACTTAATTAATTGTAAGACTACAAGATTTAGTAAAAGTTTTATTCCTTCTAGTATCGTATCATATAATGATTCATTTTAATTGTAATATAAATTTTAGTTTTAATATACCGTATATTACTATATGTATTAGTTTTACCATGTATTTTAAATGTCAACTCTGTACAATTCAGCTCTTAGCTGCCATTCAGATTTTGTAATAAATTCAATTCAATTCAGTTCAATTCAATATTGGCCAGAAAATGTAATCGACTGGCTAGGAAGATGGCGGCCAGGGTCCCTTCTGTGTGCCTTATTCTGTGGTAATACCCTTACTCCTAAATTTTTGTGGTCCTTCATGGACTCGTAACGTCTTAATTACAACGTCGAAGTAATTATTTACCATGCCCACCTGACCACGTGTCAAATTCACTCTTTGTGTCACCTCATTGGTCCAAGTGCTATCACGTGAAAATCACACCGCGCCCCGACTCTCTGGTCTTGTAAAGCCTGGTTTTCTAAAATGGTCGTTATAACGGTCGTAAAGAATGAGTCACGATCTTTCTCATCAGCCGAAATACAACATCCCAGAACTGAAAATACGCGGAGTGATTATAACTAGATAATACGGAGTGATTATAACTAGATAATGCTTTATGTGTGGTTTACAGGTATAAACTATTATAAACTGGCCGTTGAGAAAGATCGTGACTCTATTTTTACGACCATATGGAAACCAGGTTTTAAGGAGCAAGTAAAAAGTTATAGGTGGCCTTGCATAATTATTACTATCCCGACATGTCACAAGAGTTACGATAATTGTACTACGCGTGCGCAGGATGGAGCGCACCGTAAGCCTTAGCGACATGCATGTAATATATATTGTATGAAATACAGAGATGTTTTAGGTGTGTTAAAATAACGAAAGGTGTGGAGCTTATGTTTGATAATACTCACACATAAGCTCTGGAGCACAATTGGGAAGCTTCCAGCGGAAGCGATACCCAATCCTCCATAATTTTTGCAGTCCGCAAAGGACTCATACTCTCATGGTACTGATATTAAAACTGTAACTGACTCTGATATTTGCTGTGTTGGTGTAATGCACTCAGGTGAATAAGATGCTTGTGTGATGTTACTCTGAGTGTATATCCACACCGGGCAGGCTTGAAAAATATGCCTGGCCACGGTGGGATTCGAACCTACGACCTTTGGAATACTAGCCCGATGCTCTGCCAACTGAGCTACGTGGTCAGGACGGTTCGAGTTTACGATATTTGGGAACTGAGTCTAGTTCCTTCGATATCAATATAATCTAATAATCCTTTGATATCAGTGTAATCTAATAATCATGAACAGTGTGACCAGATTTGGTCATTGATTTTTGGTAAAATTTCGTGAATTTTCAAGGAAGTTTGGTAATAAGTTTTTTTGGTAAAATCTGAAAGGTTTTAATTATTAATAATCATTTTGGTGAAAATGTGTGTTTCTTGTAATAACGTGCTCAAAGTGATGAACAGAACTACCAAGCCTAAAAAATAAAGCCTTATCATTAGCAAAAACGATGAAAGCAACAAGTATTTCGAGATACCTTTTTGTGCATATTTTTTCTAGTTTGATGACGTAACTACTGTTTTTTGGCATTATTATGACGTAATTATTTGGGAAGCCGACATTTGGTAAAATTATTCTTAATTTAGTAAAATTTGAACAAAATTTTGGTAATGACTGCTGAAAAAATCTGATCACACTGTCACTGAACTATTTTGGGGCCAGAATAATGAGAGTATTTAATATTATTAATAACGAGAAGCGACTTTTGAAGTTTGTCAATGTGCTGTGAACCTTTGGTTGTTGCAATTAATTTGGTTGTTGCACTACCATTTTTGTTTGGTTTGCCGCCAAAAACCACAGTACATTGATGGAGGTCAGAACAGATGTATTCAATGTATCCTAGTTTTGAGGCCAGTGAGTTAGCACTAAGCTGCAATACGCATGCGCGTTTCGGAACGCACCGCAAGCAGTAGCAATAGAAATGTTGCATATATTGAGTAGAAAAAAATCGAGGCGTTAGAATATGGCGGATATAAGCTTAATTATTCCCCCGGATAATTAGCTTCCAAGCGGAAGCGAAACTAATTTTTACGGTCCGTCAAGGACTCGCAACTATGTTATTACCGCAACAACGTAAATCTACTGTTTGTACTACTAGCTTCTCCCCTCACAGAGAACTTGTTCTATTCAGGGATGTTCAGAGCAAAACCGAACAATATAGAAATGGACTTTTATTGAATCTCTAGAGTCTAGGTGGAACACTTCAGAACTGTATAAAAAGTTATATTAAAATTGACAGAGCTATCCAGTATAAATAAAGTGGCTTAGTTTAGGTTTCCTCCTAAGAGGGCTCTTAGTAGACGTCTAGGTAGAACAGTTTAGAATTGATAGAGCTATTGTTAGGTTCCACTTGTTTGGTTTTGGTTCCACCTGTAGCAACTGGCCATTTACTCCAGTAGACCTATTGCTTACCCCAGTAGTGAAGAAAGATGATCATGAATAAAAAGGCTCAACCTTTAATCCACCCACTTTCTCATTTTTTCACATTCGAGAATGTGAAAAAATATGAGAAAGTAGGTAGATAAAAGGTTGAGTCTTTTTATTCATGTTCATCTTGCTTCACTACTGGGGTAAGCAAAAGGTCTACTATACTGGGGTAAATGGCCAGTTGCTACAGGTGGAACCAAAACCAAACAAGTGGAACCTAACTTTATTTTTTTAAAACTTTATTTATATTTATATATTATTTATATAAAAAAAATCTCAGCACAGAATGGTTTCATGTACGCTTATAAATCGTTCGCATCCGATCTTTATCTGATATACCATCGGATATCAGATAAAGATTGGCTGCTCATGTTTTATCTAGTACTTAACTGTATGGGGGAATGGCCTTCATTGAGCCTCAGTAGTTGTAATTTCTGAAAAAATGCCCTGCTTACTAGACCTCTATAGAGCTATCTAGTATAATTAAAGTTAGTTTTGATGTATTAAATTTCCAGAGCAAACGAAGACGGTGAAGTGTTTATGAAAACTCTAACGGACTGTTGGGTGGTTGGGAGAAAATCTGATCAACGCGAACTTTATGTTATTCTACATCAGAAAAATGCAAACTTGATTGATGTAAATGGTGAGTAATCAGGAAGTTGTAGCAAGAGTTCCAGCTATATCGTGCTATATAACTCCAACCCTAATTGAGCGTCAGGATAGCAGAGTGCGTGGTAGTCATGCAATATTACCAGTGTCGGGACTCAGCTTGTATATGCAAAGAAAACGAATGACTGTCAAGCTGTAAACAAAACAGCCGTTCCAAGAAGTGTGTATTGTATTGTTTTAGAGGAAGTAAAGAAAATGACAGCCACACATTTCAGCCACATCTTCTTCCTGGACTGAAGTAATTACCCCCAACTTGTTTATGAAGGTAACATGTGTAAACTCTTTGATTTTGCGTTGCGTGGCATGGCATGGCATGGCATGGCATGGCAGGGTCTAGCTATTTTGCGGGCCGCGGGCTGCGGGTCAGTTTTTGCGGGCTGCGGGTCAGTTTTTGCGGGCTGCGGGTTAAAACAATTGCGGGCCGCGGGCCAAATTGCTGGCCTAACTAATTTTTTGTTGCATGCCATATATGGCATATATGCCATATATGGCATGCAACTTTCATTGGTGAGCGTACCGGTCACGTGGCAAATTCGTAAAATACGACAAATACCGAGTTTTTCCGACGAGCATTTCATCACTCATGCTCGAGGAAAGGCAAAGAAAAATGTTTGAGTGTTCGCGGAAAATTTACATAATTGAGCGCCTTTAAAAATAGATCAAGGTAGATAAAGCTTTGCTGGTTTTAATTTTCCTTATATTCTGTTATTTGTTGTGATTCTGGAGCAGTTGTGCTCGCAATAAAATATTAATCATAAAATGAATGATTATTTATCAGTCGTTTTTAACATTTATATCGTGAAGCCTGGCTACGCTATCAAAATACTCAATTTTTTATATATACTCAATATATACTATATTGTGTGCAAAACTTCAAAACTACAGTACATTTTGTAAATAACATGAAATATATTAAAATATCAAACAAAATTCTCATTATACTATTGAAATTTAATACAACGAAATAGTATTCTACGTCGATAATTTCAATCATAGTTTAATAATTATTTTCAATCTATAGTAATTCGCCGTTTCCATGTTTTTTTTATACTTTCGATAAAGCTACAATAAAGCTAAATTTGTAGGAAATAACATTATTTAGTTATAAAATAGTATAAAAGGAAATCTAACAGTCAAGTCAGTCAATCGCTTTCGATAAAACCTTGACCTTGTTTATATTACCGTCGTTTGCAACTAACGATGAACAGTCGCTCATAAAAACATTGCCTATTCGCGTGAGAATCTTAAGTTTTCTTATTTTGACATAATAGTTATTTTTCAATAAATATATTGGTATTAAACTTATTGAATCATTATTTTAAGTTTCAGGCCAGTTGTACCAAAAGTTATAAGCGGTAGCGCATTATAACCAGGGCACAGAAAGGGTCATACAGAAGCCCAATTTCTTGGTTTTTCCTATGATTTTCCAATGATTTTGGCGGTTAGCACTTTTTTCCATCCAGCAAACCGCCCTATCGATTTTCTAAAGTCGTTTTTTTTGCATTTTTTTATTAATTCGATTAGGGTTGGAGTTAGGGTTGAGGTTAGGGGTTAGAGTAGGGACTAGGTGTAGGGTTTGTGTTAGTTACATAGCCATTTTAAGGCCGCTTTCCACTTCAACCGTATCGTACACGCATAAAAACGCTCAGGTTGATGCAATACTGATGAAAACAGGATTGAACAATGTTTTGCTGCCCACATTGTTCATAGCTGTCAACAATATTGAACAATATTCAGGCTCAACAATAGTGTTCAATATTGTTGACAAGTGCGAACAATGTGGGCAGCAAAACATTGTTCAATCCTGTTGAGCAGCTGGCTCGGCGTTTTTTGCCGTGTACCGAAACGTAGCGTATTTCTTTGTTTCCTGAGCGCTAGAGTGGAACTAATGATTTCAACACAAAAGAAAATGCTACGATACGGTCGAAGTGGAAAACAGGTTTAACACTTCTTCTCTCTTCCGAAAATGACGTCAGGTCAGTTTGCTGGATGGAAAATAGTGCCACTATTAGGATTGGTGTACAGTTATCCCGGTCGAAACAGGTTTTAATGTCTGGTACGACTCATAAACTGAGATTCCATGATATTACAAAAAGAATGAATTTAAGGAAAAATTCGTATGCATATGATTACGAATAACATTAGACATAGAATATACTTCAAAGACAGAAAATTTTGAATAATATTGTTATTTTCTTTACATTTTGACAATATTTTTTTAAAAATTCGTCAGGCCCGCAACTAGACCCGCGGCTTGCAATCGTGTTAGCATTTTTCTGCCCGCAACCCGCATTTTTCGGCCCGCAGCCCGCATTTTTCGGCCCGCAGCCCGCAATTTTTGGCCCGCAACCCGCATTTTTCGGCCCGCAGCCCGCATTTTTCGGCCCGCATCCCGCATTTTTCGGCCCGCAGCCCGCAACCCGCAGAATAGTTAAACTCGGCATGGCATATGTATAAATGTTATATATTTTTAGACCTATATATAACTAGGAACGGCTGCGAAAAATGCAACTATAGGTCCTCTGGCAGGTATCGAACCTGCTGCCCTGCGATTCCGGTGCAGCGCTCTAACCAACTGAGCTATAGAGAGTCCAGTTGTCGAGTCCTAACTACAGAGTCCAGTTGACGATATCATGATTTTTGGCCATCTCATTCAATATTTAGTTCT